CCGGCGCGGCGCGGCGGGGAGGCGGCCGACCCGCGGATCTACGGAGAGGGGCCGGCCCGCATCCCACACCTCTTCCGCAGGGACGGCTTCAGCTTCCAGACGGTGCCGGCCCGCACCAGCTGCGAGACCCGCGACCCGGCCGGCCCGGCGGCGGCGGTGGCGGGGGACGGCCGGCGGCGGCGGCGTCGCTCCGTCTCCCGGGCCCGGCAGGTGGAGCTGCTGCTGGTGGCCGACGCCTCCATGGTCCGCAAGTACGGGAAGGGGCTGCAGCACTACCTGCTCACCTTGGCCTCCATCGCCTCCCGGCTCTACGCCCACGCCAGCCTGGAGAACCACGTCCGGCTGGCCGTGGTGAAGGTGGTGGCCCTGGGGGAGAAGGAGAAAGGGCTGGAGGTCAACAGGAACGCCGCCACCACCCTCAAGAACTTCTGCAAGTGGCAGCACCAGCACAACCGCCTCGACGACGACCACGATGAGCACTACGACGCCGCCATCCTCTTCACCCGCGAGGTAGGCATCGCCCCGGCCGACGGCGCCTTGCTTTGCCTCCAGCCGTGCATGGTGGGGTGACCGGGCTGCGACGTGGCCGCCCTCCAGCCTCGCTGTCCTGCTTTGCCGGGTGGTTGCCTCTGTGCTCACCCCTCCGTCCATCCCTTCGGGGGAAGGGACCAGCAGCCACGGACACAGCGGCTGAGGATGGAAGAAGAGCTGAAAACCCAACAAATGGTGTATGGGTGCGTGTGCCCCCTCCCCTGTCAGGGCTCACCCCCGCCGTGGGACGTGGTCATTCCTGCCAGTTTGGTGCTGGGATGCCTGCCAGGGCAGAGAGGTGGTAGTGTACCTGACTGGGGGACCCAGATGAGATGGGTATCTCATCCTTCCCCATGAGATGTTTCACACACGGCCGCTTTCTCTCCAGGGAGGTGGTGCAGGCAAAGGGCTGATAGCGCTCACTAGTCTAAATTAGTCCCTCAACCAACCTGTTAGGGGAAAAACGGTGGAGAGCACCTTAAAAGTCCACGCAACTTCCTTGTTGAGCACATGGAGATGCTATTTCCAGCAAGAACAGGTCCGCCACGCTGGGAGCCGGCAGCGCTTGTGGTTCAAGGGTAGGACGTAAATGGCAACCGCAGGTAAACAGAGCTGCAGAAGTGGAGGGAGTCAGGCTGCTGGTAAGGGCATGCAATCTCTTTCCCGTTCCTCAAGTGATCAGCTGTGGGTCGGATCTGGCCAGTCTTACCCCTGCAGAGCTGCTGCGCCTTGCTCCCTACCCAGTTGTTAATTAATTGCATTGCCAGAGGTCATTAAGGGACATTTCTCCAGTAGACATGTGGCCGAGTTTATGCAATGAGGTTCTTCTGTAAGAATATCCCTTCAGCGGTTTGGGTTTGGTGTTTTCTTTTTTTCCCTTCCCCAAGTACGAAAAAAATAACTGCATGACTTTCCATTCGTTTGAGTTCGCCTGCTTTTCTACATCATAGGAGCCTGCCAAAAAGGATGCTTTGGATGGTTTGTGGAAAGAGTTGCTCCAGAAGGGGGGAAAAAAAGCGCCTGGCTTGCTTTTAAAGCTGTAAATAGTTGAAACATTAGGTTCTGTGTCAGTCAGGCATCACTTGTACAGCAGGAGCCTTTTTTAGCAGTTTAAAGCCCATTGGTCCAATTTGCAAGCTTTCCTTTTTTTTTTTTTTTTTTAATCATTATAATCTGAATGAAAGCAGGCTACCTAGGCTGGGTCAGGATGCTCTTGCTTTTTGCTATAAACATCCTTTCTAATATCTTATTAATTAAGTCTGGGCCAGAATCCATCACTTTTCACTGAAGTGTTTTTTCTCTGCCACTATTACCATTTATTTCACTGGGATTTATTACAATTCAGAAACTCTTAGGGTGGCAGACTGTGAATCTTAAAGTCAATTATTAAGTTAATTTGGATTGAGATAGGATGTGAGTTTAAAGGGCACTTGCTTTACAGATGCTTATCTGTAATTCTCTTCATGGATGCTGCTAATCAGTAATCCACTTTCAAAGACTCCTGAGTAATGCATCTTCCATGCGTACAGTGGCTTCTTTTGGATGTAAGTAGTACCTAAACTAAACAAAGTGTCACAGTCTGCATGGTCTCCTTCCACTCTTAAGATGCAAATACTGCTTGCACTGTTACTTAGGGATGTAAAGGCTTTGCAAGCAAAAAGCACAGACTTTCTTGGTTTACATTTTAACATATTTAGCTGTGGGATTAACTCGTCAGTGCAACTGAGTATAACTTAATCTGCTTTAATGATTTGCTTTGTGCACATGCAGATTGTTTGGCATTACATTTCAGTATCCAATGAGAACAAGACTGTAGTTTCTTGCTACATGTCTTCATGATGTTCTTTGCGGGGAATATGAGTGAGTCCGCACGATTTTTATATGCTTACACTTGAAATGTCAACACGAATCTGTTTGCTCCTCTTGGAATGTAAACACGAAAAGGGTTAAAGGATGAAAAAGCAGTAGAGATGTTTCCCGGAGCAAATAGCCCCACTTTGAACTAAAGAGAGATTTTTTCCAGTTTAGCTTTTTGATGAGAGTGGCAGCAATTGGCAGGAGGATCCAACTTTTACAACTATGTTTTGAATGTATGAAGTACGTTGCTTAGCTACTAGACGCCAAGCCATGGCTGCGTGTTTTGATGGGCTCCAAATACCATAATGCTAATTTTTGAACATCCAGATGTCTTCTTCTAAATGGCTTGGTTTTTAGGCATGGGGTAAATGTGTGAGGTACATTTTCCGTCTTTGTTTACTAACTGAGGCCACCTTGAACTTTGTGTCTCTGCGTCAACAAATAATATTTGCAAATCATTTGTCAGCTGAATGCATGTCCTCAGCTGTATGTAACTGTTTATGTGTAGTCAGAATCTAAATTATGCACGCCTGTCGCCATACAAGTCTCTAATATAATAATTATCTTCCTTCTGGAATGACATCTACTTAGATGTTATTTTTGACACCAAAAGAAGCTTTTCTGAAAAGATAGCAGCTTTACTAGAGTTCCTTATGAAGGAAGAATTCTGTCATAATTCAGCACTATTGCATCCTCCTCTTCTGTTGTTATTAGTTGTTTAGAGATAAATTAATAACCGTACATCAACTAAGAGTGCGCTAGCAGCTCTCCTTATTATAACATTAGTGCTAGTTGTTCAAATTATTAACATCATCACTCATACTTGAGAGTACATCCCATGCAAAAAGATTTTTAAAAGGAGATTTACTGATTCCGGATTAAAACATTCACCCACTTTTGGTTATATTTACTTTGATAAAGGCTTTAAAGCAATTATGCTGCAGAGCGCGATAAATAGTAAATAAATATGAACATGGTTTCAGTTCACAGTCTACTGGTGTTAAAACCATTTTAAGGCTGTGTATTGCTTGTAAGTGGTGGCAAGAACCCTATAACTGCCCATGGGCTGCAGTGAATCCATTTGCCCTGTGACTGCAAGGAAAAGTACAGTAGCATGTCTGGGCATTATTAGCACCTGTGTAAAACAGTGTAAAAACCCTCAATGAGCACAGAAATTATCTGTCACTAAATATTGCAGAAACATAATGAGGTTCTCCTGTGATTATTTAAATTCTCCAAATCTAATGAGGAGAAGTATATTTTCCCAGTGGTCTCAATCTGTTGTTTTGACCCATGATGGCCAGTATCAAGCCTGACAGGAGTCTGATTTGTCATTTGATAATTTTTTAATAAACCCTCAGAGCTCTCACTAAGGCCTTAACAGCCTTAGAGAATAAATGGGTTTCCTGCTGTTCAGCTACTTTGTGGTTGAGTCCTTGACAGCAGCTGTAAATTTTTGGGCCACATGCATCTTCAGAGCATCCTCCACAGCATAGGGTGATGCAAGGATTCAGTCGTCTGGTGGCCAGGTGAGTCCTTTGCCCTGTGTGGCAGGGGAGGAGGAAGAGCTTGTAAAGCCCTTTTCTCCTGGAGAAGACTTTGTTCTCAGTGGCAGCGAAGTCAACAGCAAATTTAGAATTTGGTCTGTTTCAGGCTTTTTTGATTGTGGACAGTTCTCGGAAGCTGGCAGCAGGTTATCTTCAGTCTTCAGGATATTACGGGTGTGAGAAAATACTTGCCAGCTTATATGTCACAGTAGAAAAATGTATTAGGGATGACTTGCAAACTGCACTTAAACTCAGCCTGTTCTTTTCCAAGGTCTAGCCTGCTCCGCAATTGTCCTCTAGAATTCATCCAATTTGTTTCATTAGTGACCCTTAGTTAAGTTTCCTGTGAACTATTGAATGCATTTGGACTAAATCCAGTTCACTTCCTCTCCTTTCCCCTCAATTCTGAATCATGTGAAAATTAAGATAGATACTTCTCACAGTAGATACAGGCAGCAAGAGCAAGAAAAAATAGTTTCCTAAATGCCTGTTAGCATCATCCATGATAGTACCATCATGCCTGGCTCTAACAAAAAGTTCATGCTAGAGCCAAAGGCCACTGTCCTGCCTTTTTATACACAGTCATTATATGGGTCTTGTGTGTGTGATTTAGTTTAACTGTCACTCTGACAGTCCTGTTGAATTTCAACAGCAAACTTTGGATTATCTCAGCTCTGTAGACGATAATTTCATTGCGTGGAGCACATGCTTTCCTTGGCTTTAGCTCTTCTTTCTTTTTTTCTTTTCTATATTATCATCTTCCCAACAATTATTATCCCATATTAGTAAAGCAGGTCACTGTACCAATGGTCGTTAGAATGTAATTTACTAATGTTTATTATTAGTACTCTAAAGAAGTTATACTGGGATGTGCCTACCAGTTTCATAGTGTTTTCACCAATTTTGTTGCAAATCTCATATGTTTAGATAATATCCCTGGGGAAAATAAAGTGGGACATAATTTGTGCAGAAGTTGTGTGATTCACACTGATCTAGAGATGGTGTGGAGTTTCCCCACAGAGGAATGATGGGTTAGGCAAGCTAAACCACACATTTTTCCTTGTTCACCAGTCGCCAGTTTTGTAACTGAAACTTGGTCTGCCCTTCCCCTCCCCATGCAGAGTCCAAAAGCTTTATGTGCGTTTTGTCAGTATTTTTAAATAATCTGCAGTTTACGTATGCTTCTACATTTTCTTCATATACTTTAGAAAAAAAAAAGTTGTTTTGTTAATGTGTACATTCAGAGTGTAAAAACTTAATCAAGTTTAGGCTCTATTTCTAATACTTTATTGAAGAATGGCCTGGGATCATGAGTGCCTAGGATCCCCATACCATGCAAGGACAGAATAAGAACATGCCTAAATAACCAGTCTGGTGTCAAGGTAGTTTCTGAAGCCAGCAAATGTGGCATGCATGTGCTAAAGTTAACCCAACAGGACATCATGCATACGTTGGGTTTCCTTGAATTTCACCATATCTAGAATTCAGAAAGACAGCTCTGTACATTTGAGATTTAAATGCTCAGAACTCGGTCAGCAATTTAGCACATTAACCTGAAAGGAAGATGACCTAAAT